CATTCTGATAGACAAGCAGCACTGCTAGCTCTAAGATCAAACTTAGTGACGTCAAAGCTAGTGGGAGCTTGCATTAACCGTTTGAACGCACGTCATACGTAGTAGAGCCATGCTGCAGCTATGTTATGGTTGTATCACGAATGTTGACCGGAAAAGGACCACGCTTTCACAGAATACCGTGTCCCTTATGGTGAGCGTAGAGATCCGGGGACCTTTTTTACTGAAAACGAGACATTCCATCTTAGTCCTCAATGGTGACAACGCATCTGCATTTTGATTATTAATCGAGAATAGATGTAGATGTCTATGGACCAACACATCCACTTAATCTGGCGACCACCTGATGTATGACAAACGAGTCATCCTTATTCTGATGAACAACAGCGTCATCTTGAGATGGGCATCTAGGTCATGAAGGTACGCTAATCAATGAACAAGCCCACGAGCTTGGGCGCGAGGGGACAAAGAGTACACAATTTGGACCAGAGCCATATTTTTAAATCTCAAAAACCCTGATCTAATTGTCCCTTGAAGTTCTTTACCACAAAAAAACACTGAATATCTGATCTAATACTTTAAAACATTAATTCGGACATAATATGACCCATTTGCTTAAGAAGCGTCTAGGAATAACTAAGAACACACTGCCTATTTTTGCAAGAAGCCCTATTGGATGTTGCTGTTAAAAAAGAGCACTTCGCTGTCTTGGGACTAGGCAGCTCCATGAAGTGCCGATTCTGCTTATTGACGGAAGAAAGTCCTCTGTACATCTTAACTGATTGTGGGTTCTTAATGCGCAAACGAAGCACACATCTGGGAAACTACGTACTCAGCTAATTCTTTCAATTCATTGAAGAAACAAAATTTAGCAGTGAACTAGTGAACTATAGCCATAGCAGCGATCACAATAGATCATACTAGCCGCAATGATGTTGGCCTTACTAGACCTTTAAAAACGGACACAAAAAAAATTGCATTTGTTGGAGATAATCGTGATTGCAGTGCATAAATTGTCAGGCGCTAGTATTTATTGATCTCTGATCAGTTTATTCTGTGCGACTTGGCGCTAGAGGACATCATTATAATGTAGTTTTCCGTAGCAGTTCGTAACTCTTTTATTGTTTCGAATCCACAGATGGCCTAAAAGTTTTGTAATGCGTGAGCGCATGTTACAGCAACAAGCAATAATATTTTATCTTTTCTTTTTCTCCATTGATCTCTCCTATTAAAGCGTATCTCCTATTATAAATAAAGAAAAAACATAAGTCATAGTCATCACGTTAGGCATACGGAGTAACAATAGCTTTGACACTATTTGTTTTTTTTTTAGTATGGCCTGGTTTTCTAATAGGTAGGTACCTACTTATATAGGTATAATGTCCTCCAGACCGAATTTCGGTCACGGCGGCCAGTCTCAACGGAGACTAACCATCGACGCAGGACAGGATTATAGAGCCCAAGTGTATGCGCAAGCACAGGTGTACTCTCTATTCCCTCACTCTCATAGTCCGACGCGACCGGAGAGAGATCAGGCGCAGGAGCAACGGCTTTGCTAGCTTTCCGACGCACGGGGGTGAGACACCGCCAACTTCCTGACTCCGGGCAGCTACTGAGAATTTCTTGATGGAAAAACTCAATAACTGATTTTTTTTGCCCCGACCAGGGACCTCAAGATCAGCAGTCGCACTACTCCAACCACTAGACCAACGAGGCAGTCAGCTATAGGTATATTAATAATCTTAGATCTGTGTATTACCATACCTATACAAGATGGTATATCACTGGTTCTCTTATTTTCTCTCTCTCTGGTTTTCTTGTAACCTGACAATTACAAGACGAAATGTACTGTTAAATTAAATCCTCTTACGTCGCCAGCATTCGGCAGTATAATAACTTGTATGACGGGTATATTGCTAGTGGGAGATGTAGGGCTCGAGTTGTCTGTGCAATGATAAGCTCTAAATTCCTGCAGAGTATTTTTTCTCTGGTCAATTTCGAAACCGTTGTAGATTTTAAAGAAAATAAGGTTTGACCAACATAAAATATATCTTTACATTATGAATAGGTAACTTTTGTTATAATCTCTTTATAACGATTTTTCAATCATTGTAAAACATTAATAGAAAGTATAATTAAACTTTGCATAAAGTATTCCACCTATCCATCTAACAAGAGTTCATATGTCGACGAATTCAGGCACTTTCAATTTATCGCAATACAGTCCAGGACTACTGGAATTCAAACTGTTATTATAAATTAATGTTTAGTGTTGTAACGCATGCATTATCTATATCATTTATCATACATTCTCATATCATCATTCATTATATTAACTAAATCAAATCAAGAAGTCGCAGCGGTGTTTGAGAAATATTTCACTGATTCTTCTGATCTTAACAACAGAGTGCTTGAATACTTCTCCAACTGTCGCCGAGTCATTACTCAAACAGAATGTTTAAAAAATCTAGATTTGAAAAAGTATTTTTTTAAATTTAAAAACCCTTGATGTAAATAAAACGATTTCCGTTACAGTTCTTGCGTCACCTTGCTATTATTTTTAATACTTGTATCGATAGTACTGGCGTGTTTCCTGATTTAATGAAACATAGTAAAGTAATACTTTTATTTAAATCTGGTAGTACAATGGACTCCGCTAATTTGAGACCTACGAATTCTCAATATAATTTTTGAAAAAATAATTTTGGATCAATTGTTAACTTTTTTATACAAATAAATTACTCAATAAAAAACAATTTGGTTTTACAAGGGGTCACTCGACAGCTGACGCCTATGCGCAGCTTATGAATTATATTTTTAATGCCTGGGAGAATCCAAACACATTCACAAAAAATGCCTAAGGCATCTTGCCTTAGGTAATTTTTGTGATCTATCCAAGGCTTTCGATTGTGTTCATCATGAGACATTAATCAGGCAAATACAAGATTGCGGTGTAAAAATTTGTCGCTTAGACTTATTACTTCATATTTAAGTAACAGAACTCAAAAGTCGTGATCAATGGTAGAGGTTCCTCCAGATCTATAGTATCAATGGGCGTTACACAGGGCTCGATTCTTTGCCCATTCCTGTTCTTAATCTATATTAATGACTTACCTTATCTTCTAGGGGACAATCACTATATAGTATTATTTGCTGATGATACCTCTTTAATTTTCTAACTCAAACGACAGTCAATTAATTATGACGATGTCAATAATGCTCTATCGAAATTATTACATTGGTTTAACGCCAACAATTTGCTCTTAAACGGCAATAAGACACAATGTATTAAATTTACAATACCTAATGTAAAACATTCAAATACCAATGTGCTCTTAAACGGGGAGGGATCGAACCTTGTGGATACGACTGTGTTTCTTGGTATTAATTACTATTGATCCGAAGCTTCAATGGGGCCCTCATATATCTAAACAGAAGCAAGCAGACTTAGTTCTGCAGCACATTAGAACGGAAGCACCTAAGATTAGAAATCCTACAGATATTGAGACAGCGAGATTAGTGTATTTTAGAAGTTTATTCTCTCAGAGTAATATTTAAAGAAATCAACATATTATTAAATTTGGCATCGCAATATATTTATGAAAATGTAATGTATGTACATAAAAACATAAATAGCTTTAATAAGAATAAGGATGTGCATACTTTAAACACTAGGAACAAACATAATCTTGTAACGACAGTTACTACACTCAGTAATTTATTTATGGGGCAATGTATACGCTTTTACAACCAAATCCCAGAACATGTTCAAAGTTTGTTATTAAACAAATTTAAAAGTTTTATAAAAGAAAAACTGTACAAAAAGAGTTATTATAATATCAAAGAATACATGAATGAAAATAACCCTTTGAAATGAGGTGATCGCGACCATGCTGGTTCTATGAAAATTCATTTAAAAATTGTACAAACAAAATTTATTGTAAAATGAAATATGTTTAAAAAAAGTCTCGCTGGGTTTCTTGCTGGTTCTTACCAGGACAGAGGTATTTTCGGAACCAATGGTAAATAAAAAAATGACTTTCTATAACTATTATACTTTTACTGTGGTCCTACATAAATTATAAGGCTAAATTAGCCAAAAAAGTACACTGTTCAACAGGGTCTCCTCATGAAGATTTTGCCATAGTTGCCACGTTTGGCAGGCGAGTTGGCAACCGCAGTTTTCAATTATTTTGTGTTGTTATCAGGAAGAAGATGCAGCTGCCCATCATTCATTTTAATTTCTCTCTGTCTTCCTGTCTGTCGTATCTTACCACACCCACGGGACAATATGGAGTACTGAATAATCTTACACAGCCACTACACGCAATGGAGTTTTTATGGATACGGTGGTAGAGCACGGATTACGCTTTCGCCTCACCGTAAATCTAACAGTTCGCGATCGATCGCCTGATCGCGATCAAAATCGATCCCCAACCACCATTGAAATTATGAGGTGCAATTAAGTGCTGATTTACCGTGCTGGACGACGAAGATACGTCGTAAGGAAAACTGCATGTCTTGAAAAAAAAAACTTTATTTATAGAATGGTGGTGACAAAAGAGCACACAGTCCACCTGTTGGTAAATGGACTGCTGTACCCCATAGACATTTATGTACATTCATCCTCGATTAAGAATTAAAATGCAGTTTCTTTATCACCCCTGAGGAATATAAAGGAATGCCCCGTATCCAGTAGAAAGGGTCTCCGGTTCTCTATACGCACCATACTAAACACAGCGGCATTAGGCTTCTATTTTAAGTTGGTATTCTGTGAGAGCGTGGTTCTACCCCGGTCGATGGCCACACATTCGTGCTACAACCATAACATAGCAGCAGTGTTGTGTGCAGTGGCTCTAAGACGTATAAAATCTTCCAACAAATTTATGGGTAAAATGAAACAAATATTTATTAATTTAAAAATATTTAATATACACAGTTCTGTACAACACATTACTCTCTTTTCGAGTACCTTAGTAGGGTAACATTTCTTTAGTACTGAATCAGGTGAGGAGGTTGACGTGTGTGTTCGTGCGGAGAGGCATCTTCTGTTTCTTCAGCGCGCGGTAGGCGGCGACCGCATCAAGACGGACACGCTCACGACGTTCCAACTCCACTGCTGGCAACTTTTCCTTCTTGCTTTTCTTAATCTTTCCTTTCTTTGTAACGGTTTCCATGATCTTGCTGTTCTTGCTGTTTTTGCTGTTCTCGCTGTTCTTGCCTGCGAGTATGGCGCTCAGCAACAGATCCCTCCGGCCCGGCTGCAGACCAATTCACTGATACAGCATTTTGTCTATATTTCGCCTTATATCCGTATTTTTTTTTTTTTAGGATATGTGTGACAAACAAGCTTACAAGTCCACCTGATGGTAAGTGGATACTGTGGGCTCATAGTCATTTACATCTATCCTAAGGACTAGGACTAAGATGGAATGCTTCGTTTCCAGTAAAAAGGGTCTCCGGTTCTTTACACTCACCATATATAATACCGGGTTATTATGGTATAATTACCCGGTCGAGCCAACCTATTCCTGCTATAACCTTAATATAGCTGCAGCATTATGGCTCTACCATGCATTAATTTTATTTTCATACAAGTCATTTATTTTGCAACAAACAGTTCTACATACTACATTCATGCTGATATTAAATCTATACATATAAATAAAAGTGAAGTGTCTGTCTGTAATATTGAAATAACTGGCTTCTATTACACTCAGGAGGTCATTTTGCATGCTATTACACCACTGCTGAACATAGGCCTCCCCCACAGATTGCCTCATAGATGACACGCTTGGCAAACGGGTTGCCTATCGCAGTAGTTTATTGTTAGTCGTTACTAGGAAGACGTTGCTACCCGCTTCCTGATTTATTTCTCTCTGTTGCCTCTTACGACTCCCGCGGGACAATGTACGGTAATTGATATACTTACACCGCCACTACACAGTAAGTGTAGGGTTACTTGTTACGTAATAACTGTTAGTTAAGCTGTGGTGCCCTGCCATAGTGAGTATTTTTACCCACCCCGTGTAGTAGCGGGTAAGAATACCCACTACCCCATATCTTCCCTTGGGTGTCGTAAAAGGCGACAGAGGGAAACTGAGGCAGAGGATGGGCAACAGCATCTTTCTGATAACAGCAAAACAACAATAAAAAACTGCGGTTGCCAACCCGCTCGCCAAGCGTAGCAACTATGGCAATATACCCCCCATGAGCAATGACATTAATAAGCGGCCCCTAGTCCCCAGCGGCCCCGGTTACGGTGGCGACCATGGTAACGGCGGGGCAGGGGGTGCTAAGAATCTCCGGTGGAGGTTCGATTGCCACCTAAGACGACTCGACCAGGCAACTTATAACACACGCACCCTGAGAGCTGACGAGAAGATCCTGGAGCTGGAAGAAGAGATAGACAAGTTACTCTAGAATATTATAGGATTATCCGTGGTCCGAAGAGAGGGGGAGGACTCGGTAATCCTCGAAACCGGCAACTTGTTCTATCACCGGGGATTGGGAGTGTGTCGACGAGGGTTGTGTTACCTTATATTCAGAATTACCAAACGGTATTCGCTGAAGGTCATACAGGTTTACCTACCAACCTCGGTACATCCCAATGAAGAGATGGCGGAAATGTATGAGGATATCTCTAGAGCCATGCATTCCTCCAAATCCTACTATACGGTGTTGACTTCAACGCAAAACTAGGCACAAGAGAACGGTGGGCTGAAAGTAGGGAAATTCGGATTAGAGCAACCCAAGAGGCCAACAGCTGGCAGAGTTCATGGAGAAAGAAGGACATTTTATGATGAACTTCTTCTACCAGAAGAGGTCCCACAGGAAGTGGACCTGGTCGAGCCCCGACAGTTCGACAAAAAATGAGATTGACTTCATTATGACGACCAGACGACATCTGTTCAGTGATGTCTCGGTGATCACGAGGGTGAAAACCGGCAGCGATCACCGAATGGTGAGAGGCACATTGAACTTAAACGTTAAGTTGAAGAGGTCACGTCTAATGAAGTCAACGCTTCGTCCCCCTCGTACTCTAATCTAAAGTTCCGAAACCTTTCGGCTCGAGTTACATAACTCGTTTTCAGTGGCACTACACCGGAGGCGCTGAGCAGAAATGCGGTGGTCTTGTTTTTCAAGAAAGTTCTGTAGTTCTTAAAGACCGATTTCTCTTCTGAACCTCTCCACGTGCTGTTTTGAGTCATTACAAATTGTCTTGCACGCAATCAGACTTCTAGTCTCCCGAACAAGCTGCTTTCCGAATAGTTTGTAAGTTATAAAATTATAAATTATTAATGTTTTTATTTCAAATTTTTTTAAGAAATGTTAAGTATGTTTTAATGTATTGTTGCGCGCCACTATGAGTGTCTCGTACATGGCAACACTAGTTACCACTAGTGCCCTCTAGTATCGAGTAGCAAACTAGGAGAGTCAAGATCATTCTAGATGTTTCTACAGTAGCAGGTTCTGGAAATTATCAGAGGCCCTATATAAGACCGGTATAGACCACGACCGAGTCAGTATTGAATCAGCGAAACAAGCGGATACTTCGAAGCGATATAACTGCGAAATAAAGTGATTAGTAGTACAATTGTGATTTATTATTAGTGCGGTTTTAAATTGTAATTAGTGTTCTGTAATTAAAGTGTCAATTTTGGTAATTCAATCGGCAGTTTTTAATTGTCTCGAATCCCAAGCTCGTAACAATTGCTGTCAGAAGTGGGATCAAATCATGCCGATTTTACCAAAGGACGACATGGAGGGTATCCGTACCCGAAGTCAACGCCAGCTGGAGACGGATCAGAGACGATTTGGTAATGCAACGCCGCAAACGTCGGAGGGCCAGCTGCCGACCACGGAGGCCGGCCCGTCAGTAGCTCACGCATCTGCAGCACCTGACTTAGGTGCTCTGATGATGATGTTGCAGGAGCAGGCCCGTCGACCAGAGGAACAGGTCCGTCGATAGGAGGAACAGGCCCGCCGACTGGAGGAATAGGTTCGTCGGTTGGAAGAGAAGATGCAGCGCGGTATGGAAGAGCAGATGCTCCTCATGAAGGACCTTCACGTTACCTTCGGGAAAGAGATAAGGGAGGTGAAGGATAGGGTTGCTCAACATGTAAACCGCCTGTCGGAAGCTGAAACCCGAATCGACCAAGTGAACAATCGGGTTGACAACGTGATGGCTGACGTGAAAAAAACGCTGGACGACCTCAAACTTGGGGATGGAATTACAGCTCCCGTGGTAGCTACAACACCTTCGCTACGTGGATTCAAAGTGCCATCGTTCGACGGGACTTCTGACTTCCTGATCGGCCTACAAAATCCAGTTCGAGGTTGTCATGAAGCCGAACGGATGGAATAAAAGTCAGGCTGTGACAGTTCTCACCCTAGGCCTGCGCGACCAGGCCTTAACTGTTCTGGAAGCTCTCGGTAAGGAAGTGGCTTACGAGCAGCTCCTTGAGGCTTTGGAGGAGAGATATGGCGACGCTTACCTGGAACACGTTTTTCGTGAATAGCTCAAAGATCGCGTGCAACGCAGCAACGAAAACCTGCAGCAGTGGGCCCTTGAGGTGGAGAAGCTGGTTCGGAAATCATTCCAGTCTGTACCTGCGCTCATGGTAGGGAACCTGGTGCAGACATTCATAGACGGCATCCGCGACCTTGAAGTCAGAGTTGCTGTGAGGCTCGGGCACCACGAGACGCTTAAGGATGCGTTGGCCCATGCACTGGAGGTGGAAGCCGTGCGATAGGATCATCGTTCCCATCGCGTCAGGGAGGTTGTAGCAGCTACAGTTTGCAACTGCAATAAATGATACAACCCTAGGTACTACGGCTGTGGGGAAAGGAGCCGTCTTCGATCCAGCTGCTCTAAGCGAACTGTAGAAAGGGGAGGTGACCGATCTCGAGAGGGTAGTGCGGCTAACAGCACCGCTCAACAGCAGTAGGGAAACTGGCGAGGACTGGCGCGTTATTTATGGGATTACAATTTGTGTATAATGGGAGTACAATTGTGATTTATTATTATAGGCCTGTTGGTCTAGTGGTTAGTAACCCTGACTGCTATGCCGAAGGTCGTGGGTTCGATTCCCACCCAGGACAAATGTTTGTGTGATGAGCATGATCATTTGTTCTGTGTCTGGGTGTAATTTATCTATAATATTTATGTATTTAGAAATATATAAGTATGTTTATCAGTTGTCTAGTACCCATAACACAAGCTCTGCTTAGCTTGGGACTAGATGGCGTTGTGTGATAGTTGTGGAATAATATTATTATTATGGGGTATCTATAAAGTTTTCTCATCTGGTTGGGCAGTATAAATATATAATTGTAAATGAAAATGGTAAACATACATAAATATGAATAAAATAAAATAAATACATAAAAAATACATAAATATATAAAAACCCAACCAGATGGAAGCCCTCGGCAGGGGAGACCAGACGGCCGAGGGTTAGGGAGAAAGGGAAAGAAACCGGCGGACGATGCGGGCGGTATCGAGGAGCACCGCTTTCTGCATTTGAGCCTGGAGCGGTCCGTCACGGAGTCCCAGTCGCCTCAGATGACCCGGGAGGCTGACTGGGATTAACCCGTTCGCAGAAACGACCACAGGAATAATTTCGGTCGGCAGACCACCCCACATGCCGGTAACCTCGTGAGCCAGGTCCAGATATTTTGTCACCTTATCTGTTTCGGCTTTCACGAGGTTCTCGTCATAAGGAATGGTAATGTCGACCAAAAAGATCCTTGACTGTGCCCGGTCCATCAGCACAATATCAGGCTTATTCGCAAGAATAGTCCTGTCCGTGATGATGGCCCGGTCCCAGTAGAGCCTGGCGCGGTCATTTTCGAGCACGGCTTCCGGCAAGTACTTATAATACGGCAGTTTCCGATCGACGAGGCCGTATTTCAGAGCGAGCTCCTGGTGTAGAATCCTGGCTACTAGATTGTGTCTGTGCAAATACTCAGAGTTAGAAAGCGCCGAACAACCGGAGATGACATGCCTAAGTGACTCACCGGGATGGCGACAAGCTCGACAGATGTCGACGGCGCCATCCTTTAGGATGTATCTCCGATAATTGTTGGTCTTAATAACCTGATCCTGTATTGCACAGACAAAACCCTCGGTTTCCCCAAAGAGGTCACCGAAACGTAGCCAGTGAAGGGAGGCGACTGTGTCTACGAAAGGCTCATGTAGAGCCTTGTAGAACCTCCCGTGGAGCTCCTTCTCCTTCCATACGGTCTCCCGGTCGGAAATGCACTGTACTGCTGGGTCTTGCCATTGCTCGTTGGCTAAGGATAGAGGGGTCAGTCCTTTATCACAAGAAATAACGTCCCTATAGTATGGATCATCGGCTCTCGTCAGAAAGTAATTACGGAGGCTGCACACTTCGCGATTATGCATGGTAAGCGCGCTTAAAAAGCCGCGCCCGCCATGCTTCCGCGGCAAGTACAGCCTCATTACTGACGATCTCGGATGATGCATCCTGTGGGACGTCATTATAGTGCGGACTTTTCTGTCCAGAGCGTTTAGTTCGGTCTGAGTCCACCTAAGTATGCCAAAGGTATACATGAGAACAGGCATGACCCAACCGTTATTATGCGTGCGTCTTATTCACACCGGACAAAAGGCTGTTAAGCACTTTGGTCAAGCGTGCATAAAACACATCGCAAACTGACTGTTTCATACCCGCCTCATCTACAGCGATGTTCTGTGACATACCCAGGTATCGGTATGTTTCAGCCTCGGAAAGGGTCCTTATGTTGATGGGCATAGATAAATCTATGCCCTCAGAGTTAGCAACCCTTCCCCTTTCAACATGGAGGACCGCACACTTATCCGTCCCCAGCTCCATTCTAATAGAATTGCTAAAATCACAAGTGATGTTTAGCAATTCCATAAGATGAGAGCGACTGGTGGCGAATAACTTGAGATCATCCATATAGAAAAGGTGGGTCACTTTTGTACCTCCCCTCCGAAGCTGAAATCCCCTCCCGGAGCCCTCCAGTAAGGTACTGAGAGGGTTCAGAGAGAGGCAGAACCAGATTGGACTCAGACAATCGCCCTGGAAGATACCCCTTCTTATCCTTATGTGGTTCTCCGCAGCCGTCATCCGCTCGCCTAGATGACAAAGGATCGTACTCCACTGCCCCATACACTGCCCAAGGAAGTCTCTAACTGTACAGTCAATCTTGTACAGCTCGAGGACCCTCTCCAGCCATGTATGAGGCACCGAGTCGAATGCCTTTTTGTAGTCTATCCAGGCGGCGGAGAGGTTCCGACTGTTGCGTTTAACCACTTTGCCAATGACCGCGTCAATGAGGAGTGGTTCCTTGGTTCCACGACCACCGCCCCGACATCCATTTTGAGCGCGCGACATCACCTGATTTGAGTTCAGGTGACGAGTGATTCTCGCGCTCAAAATGGATGTTAGTGTCTTATATATCGTGGGTAGACACGTGATGGGGCGGTATTTGCTCGGGTCTATGGTATCCCGGTCTTTAGGAACCAAATGAGTGATCCCAGTAGTGAAGAGGCTCGGGAGCGACTTTTGGTCGAGAGCCTCTTGAAATTGTCGGGCGAGCACAGCGTGACACACCACGAACCCCTTCAGCCAGTAGTGATGCAGCCCGTCGAGTCCCGGACTTTTCCAGTTCGGGGCCCTTCGGACCGCTTCAGCTACATCGTCCGGCGTTATAATGACGGGGTCCATGGGCGTAAGATTCGCACACTGACTCACCACAACTTCCGTCCAAGGGCCCTCGCTGTGGTTTACGGGCTCTGACCACAGGCCGCGCCAGAATGCGACAGTGTCGGCCTGATTCGGTGCTTGGCCCGTTCCACGTACCATTGGTCGCTCCAATGATTTATATAGCCTCTTCTGATCACTCTGGAAGAGACGATTCTGGTTGAACCGTGTCGACCTCTCGGTATATCGCCGAATCCGCTTCCCCCAAGCAGCGATTCTCTGCTTCAGGTCGTCTATGCGCTCCGTCAGTTTTTGCGTTATATCCGGCTGGGACAAACTGATATTTGTCCCAGCAAACGCCATTCTGACGGTGCGCACAATTCGCGGCCTATTATTGCCCGACCTGAAGCTTATCAGCCTGCCGATGAGGGCCCTTGCCTTTACGATACGGTCCTCAATCCTTCTTCTCCAGGCTGGGATGGCGCTACTTTGTCTAGTAGCGCGTCCAGCCGTGGGAAGTTTGGCGCCAACAATACGGCAAACTGCCAGTGCGGCGCCAAAAAGAATTGAGTCCGTCTCGCAAAGGTCCCGGCTGGCTTCCAAATAGGTGACCAGCATTGGGTTGAGAGCCCTCACGACAGCCCGATTCCGCTTGCTTAGGGGTATGCGCGGGAGTCGCGGTCGATTTTCGAGAGGCGTACTGCGCGTTTCCACAATCGCCTCTTCCAATTTACTCCTCATCTGCTCTAGTTCTTGGGTGACCATTCCATCTTCGCCTGAATCAACCAGAGCAGGGAGATCCATGGCGCCCTCTATATGTGGCTGCTGGTCTGTGGCCTGAAGAGCCGCATCCCCAGCTATAGCTGGTTCATTCGATGAGGGAATAGCCTCACGTCGTAGTCGTTCGAGTTCGGCATCATCAAATATTTTCGAGCGTATGATGTACCGAACTCGGTCTGCCAGGTTTTGCTCCGTGACGGGAACTGACGGCTCAAGCTCAGCAAAAAAGCGATGCATCCGAGCCCGATACGCTGTCCCTCCAGTTTCTTCCCCTTTCGCCCTATAGTACGCCCGCAATGCGTTTATGTTCATATTTTTTGTCCAACGCATGCGGCGTACTGCACCAGCGGCGGGTGCCGCTTGCCGAGTCCGAGAGAACCCCGCCGACACCAAGCCGTCTGGTGGAGATGATGGACGCGAGGGGCTGCTAGGTGGTCGTGCAGCACCTCGCGCTCGGCTGGCGGCTTGCATGCTGTCACGTCCAGCGCCAGCTCCAGACGCGCCCCGGCGACCCCCAGGCAGCGGCCCTATGCGCGTTCTATTATTTTCCATCATCCATTTAATTGGGCGTCAATTAACGGGAGACGCCCAGACCCGGCGCCGTTTAATAGTGTGGCCGTAAGCACAAACGGGCCTTTGCACCCTCAATACTGCCGAGGCACGGCGCTCACACCTCTTGGCAAGGCGCTGACTGACTGCGCTGACATAGCAGTTTTGTCACTTAACTGTTACGTCAGCGGGCGATGGGGTCGTCACTTCCCTACGCCATATTATTATTATTATTATTATTATTCTTAGTGCGGTTTTAAATTGTAATTAGTGTTCTGTAATTAAAGTGTCAATTTTGGTAATTCAATCGGCAGTTTTTAATTGTCTCGAATCCCAAGCTCGTAACAGTATTTTACCCGTAAGGCAATTAGTTTTGGATAGCATGCTCTGTGACAACCTAAATCAGCCAGAGACTCTTTGCTTAAAAGAATATCACCATACTTAAAGTCACTTTCTTTACGGAATTGAATTTTCAAATAACAATTTTAAAAAAAATGGTGTTTGCACCCGGTATAGAGATAATATATTTATGCGTGTAGATGTCTGCCAACACCAATACAAATGGTTTGGGTTTTAATGGCGTTTGTATAGTAAGTATGTACTCGTTGTTATATGTTTTATGCATTATTAAATAAAAAATGAAATAAGGTATGTTACCCTCGGCGCGCCCAGCTCGTTGCGCGCGCGGCGCGGCTTCACGGGCAGCGGCGGCGGCGCGTGCGCCACCTCGCCGAACGCCACGCGCTCGTACCGAACCTCACCGCCACCTTCGCGCTCCTGCACACAACATATACCTACTACAAAACAAACTATTTTTTATAAATCAATAAATTATCTTTCACTTTCATTTTCTGTCGCCTCTTACGGCACCCACGGGACGATATGAGGTAGTGGTTTTTTTTTATAGGAGAGGGGGCGAACGAGCATGCGGCTCACCTGATGGTAAGTGACTACCGCCGCCCATGAACAACCGCAACACCAGAGGAATTGCAAATGCGTTGCCGGCCGGCTGTTCTTGCACCACCATTACATAATGGTGTGATTTAACTTTTAATTACTTTCCATTTTAAAAAACGTCACCCGTACACATTGACTTACTACTTCTTGTACTATTGTTTACTCTGTGCACTTCTAAATGCACGGCGGGTCTAAAACAAAATTTAAGAAAAATGTGTCCCGAGTCAACCTTTACAAGCATAGGTACACGTATAAAAATATAAAAAGATCTATAACATCCTAATTCAAACCATATAATCATTGAAAAACTGCTCAATTTTACTTGCGATAGTTTATAAACTTATTAACTTCGATAAGACGCCACACTATTTTCACCCTATAAAGCTTCTCACGAAAATTATCAATATAGTTAATTATTCATAAAAATAATATGAATTTAATTAAACTATGTATCTAAGCAAAATATTACTTTTAAATGATTAAATATTAACAGTCATTATCGAAAATATGATACACCATCCGCTTTTCTAACTTTACGAAAGTGGTTTTTGCGCATTTTCACAATACAGTACGACATTTTAGACGTGTATTAAGTCGGTTAACAAAACGAAAACTGGCGCGCGATTGGAACTCTTTTTTTTTTGCATTTTGGAACTCATTTGTCTCGGACATTTGAGTGCGAACCCGAAGTCCATTTAATAGTAGGTCAATGCCCGTACACTAGGATTTCCTCGTGTATCTTGGAAGCAGTTTACAAACATGATTACTTTTATATAGAATAATGGTGTTGCAAAAGGACAAATATTCAAACGTAGAACAATTATTTGTAGGCCATACAAGTACCTGTTTTGTTCGGAATTCGAGTCCACGGCCCTCAACGCCGCAACTTGAGCTAAGCCACTACGAGATGGGGCGCAAACTTTCAAAAATAACTCATATTAGTAAAAGCTAAGTTACTACGTTCTAGCAAAGCAAAAATTGTTGTGTTCCACTCTAGAGAGTATAGACCATGAAGCAAATACAAAGAGGATACGTTGTAATTCAATTTCACTATGAAACAACGCGTGACAATTTGCGGGGTGAGGGGATACAAAGCCCCGCCCACTACACTATCTACATCTACCGATAAATAGTAAAACTACTCGAATCTTTCCATATCAATGTTGCAATGTAGCTTAGCTACCTTGACGGTAGATGGCGGCATATCCACAAAATGTTATAAACTAAAAAATAATATTTTGGCGATTAAAATTTCTTTATGTCTGAATGCAAAACAAATTTTAGCACTTTCGTATGATTATTTTATCATTACTGAGCTCTACGTACCTTTATATTTTTAGTTCACAGGACACAAAGTGTCGCCATCTAGTGTGGAATATATTTAATTATATTTGAAAGCCGACGCAAAGAGATTTTTCTAGAACTATTTAAATAAATTAGGTGTAAAATTACTTACAAATGAAATGTGATGCCATCCATAGCATCGGAGCGTCTATCTCATGAAGCAAATACATTCAGACAAAGAAATTTTAATCGCCAAAATAATAATTTTATAGTTTTCATAATAATTTTGGGAACAGGTCGCCATCTATTGTCAAGTAAACCTCATAAAAAATTACAAAAAGCCAGGGCAGCAATTAGAATTCAATTATTTTACCCAGTAACCCAACATTCAATATTAAAATGAAGGAAATTGTACTTGGCTGATTTTTACGAAATGTTTAAGTTATATTTAACTGACATTCTATATGCAAAGAATCACTTAAATACAATTTAAATATGTTTATCATTTCGTGAAAGTCAACCTTCAAAAAATATTTATTTTATCCATAAAATAAAGTCTCTTTGAAACTAAATATTCTATATTCAATATTAAGTAGGATATTTAATTTGGAACTAAATATCCTATTTATCTCACTAATATTATAAAGGCGAAATTTTGTGTGTTCTTTCTGTCTCCTTGAGCTTATTCCACACTAAGTATGTACTGTGTATGTGTAATTTTTTCACGCAGAAACGGCTGGACTATTATTTATCTGTGGGTTATACTACTTAATATCTCATGGGAGAACAAATAATAGACATATTATTATAATTAATATAATTTTATTTACAAATCAATTAAAATATAAATATTTTATTCCAAATTAGGCTTCCGAATGCACTTTTTGAATGCCAATCTAAGAACATTAAATTGTATTTAAGTGATTCTTTGCATATAGAATGTCACTTAAATATAACTTAAACATTTCGTGAAAATCAGCCTAAGTACAATTTCCTTCATTTTAATATTAAAAGTTGGATTACTGAATAAAATAATTGAATTCTAATTACGGCACTGTCTTTTTGTTATCTTTATGAGGTTTACTTGACGATAGAATACGGCCTGTTCACATAATGATTATAAACTATAAAATAATATTTTGCGATTAAAATTACTTTATATCTGAATGCAAAACAAATTTCAGCACCTTCGTATGTTTATTTTACCAATACTGAGCTCTATGGACCTTTATATTTTTAGTTCACATGACACAAAGTGTCGCCATCTAGTGTCGAATATATTTAATTATATTTGAAAGCCAACACAAAGAGACTTTTCTAGAACTATTTTAATAAATTAGGTGTAAAATTATTTACAAATGAAATGTGATGCCATCCATAACATCAGAGCGTCTATCTGAGTAGTTTTTACACAATAAAACACAACACTTCATTCTTTTCTGCTTAATACTACGAAAATACATCGATTTGCGATTTTTTCAACACATGAGCGCACAGGACGAATGCTGACAGTATACTAACTAAAGCCACGCCCACTATGATGACGTCAGGACCTACTTAGAATCACATTGCACAGTTGCTTATGCCGTCTCCCCTTTGTATTAGCTTCATGGTATAGACAGCCAATATAATTCTAAAAAGCCTAACTTAAAAGGAGTGTTTTAATAATGTGTTTATTAAGTATTACTGGTTCGAAAATAAAGATTTTTGATTTTTTGATTTGATTTGAGACTGTGAAGCATTCCATCTTAGTCCTCAGAGGTGACAATTTTGTTGCAGTAATCCATAGCTGGCACTTCAGTCAAAGTGATTAATGGACTGTTAGTCCATTAATCACTTTAATTTAAAAAAAAAACTAAATACTATGTTATAGTAATATGACAATCAAACCTCCAAAGCTTTGTCCCTCTTGGCTTTTCTCTTTAGAGCTAGTTTCTGTGCACGACTTAATTTTGGTGTGGCTTCCTCACCGTTGTCCGTTGCAACCATTTTCTTTTGTTTCTTTTTGCGTCTGGCTCGTTGTAAAGCCATCTGCTCTCCTTTTACATCTTCTGCATCAATATCTTGCTGGTTAGAAATTTTATAATAATGAGATCATTTCTACATTCTGATATGTCAATGTCAATTTTAATCAGTGAGTTAATTGGATGGCAAGCATATAAATAAATCCACTGTCTAAAGAAATTTTGGGTAAATCGGTTCACATAACATGCTGTTTAATGTTTAGCAGTCTGATTAAACTAAATTATTACATTTAGTTGTGTTTTCTATATTATATTAAGCTGGCCATTCAATAATATATACACTATATTATTTTTTTTTACTCTCTCCCTCTCTCGAATCTCGACAGCGCCACCTACCGGGTCCAATTGTAAATCGTCAAGCCAGTTTCGAGTTATTGCGAGACTAACGCACAGCAATTCATTTTTATATATAAAGAAAATAATACATTAACACTAGCAGCTACAAGCTGATGCGTATGCAACTTGATATTTGGAGATTTTTATCAAATTTGTTTTTGAATGGCATTCAATGTAGGAACATCAATCACATTTTGCAGTAGTTTATTTATTAATATTTATTTGTGACAACACAATTTGTTTGTAATAAAATTCGTCATGGGATTCTACTTGGCCTATGGCAGAGGGTGTTGATGTCTTAATTTTATTATTTAATTAATTACTAAATGAATGAGATTTTTATGCACGTAATTTGGCTCCTGGTTATCGGAAATAAATGAATTTTTATTTGAAACTTACTTTTAAACCACAAATTTCTGAAATATATTTGTAGCATTGAAAATATAGACAAGAGAAAATCCATCGATCCATTCCATCCATTACAGCCTACAAAAGTCCACTGCTGAACATAGGCCTCCCTCATAGGATTTTGTCATAGCTGACATGCTTGGCGAGCGGATTGTCAACTGCAGTTTTTTATTATTTTGAGTTGTTATTATTAAGATGCTGCTACAGATCACATGTTTCGATTTCCCTCTGTCGCCTCTTACGTCACCCATGGGACGATATGTGGTAGTGCATATCCTTACACACCACTATGCCGTCACGTTAGTAGCGGTGTACTAAAATAATTATGATAAAATGTTTATTTCAGTGCTTCTCCTATCTTAAAGTGACGGCAAGTGAGGGAGGGCGAGAGGTGCTCTTCAAACTATGTAAAAGTCATCTTTTCATTTTATTGAGTGGATATTGACAAAGTAAAAATTTTCAAACTTTAATATAATGGATTTCCACAAAGTAATGCCTGATTGTATAAATTATCTTTTTTTTTTTTTTTTTTATAGGATAAGGGTGACAAACGAGCACACAGTCCACCTGATGGTAAGTGGTTGCTGCGGCCCATAGACATCTACATCTATCCTCTGTTACAAATCAAAATGTAGATGCGTTGTCACCCGTGAGGACTAAGATGGAATGCCTCATTTCCAGTAAAAAGGGCCTCCGGCCACCTGCGCTCACCAAGCGAAACGCAGAGATAAACCTCTACTTCACGCTGGTTTTCTGTGAGGTCGTGGTACTACCCCGGTTCGAGCCGGCCCATCCGTGCGACAGCAAAAGCTGCCGCGTAGCTCTACCACTGTTCTTATTTGCTTAAGTCTTTAATAACATTTTCTTTTTCAAAATATTTACTATACTATTTTAGAAAAATAATACATACAGGGTAATCTTCTTCCAGTGCTGGATTGTGAAGAGCTTTTATTGCACTATTAATTCGTAAGGAGAATCCTCGTCCTGATTCACCTGGCAGTTTCTGTAATTTGGCAATTGGATTATCACGGTACGAGCTCACGCTATCACTGTCTGAAAAAAAGAATAGTATGATCTTCAGTGAATGCAAATAAAACATGGAAGTATTACTTCACTGGAACTATAAGTGTTCAGCATGGCACAATAATTAAAACAAAATTACATGTAGAAACTCGATCGCTGATTAACTAACAGTTTATTATATTTTATTACAACTAGATAGATGGTTAGTTAGACTGATAGTCTTTGCCTTTAATTACCACACATCACATAAGTTACTAACAATGTTTCTAATATGACACCATTTGTGACATATGCTGGGGAAGGCCAATGTGTGATGATCCACTTCCCATCAGGTGGACTTTGTGCTCATTTGCCATTTTGTCATTTGCCTTTCATTCTATAAAAAAGAACCCTGTTTATTACATTTTAAGGACTAAGCCACTGAACCTATTATAATGAAATTTGACAAAGAGGTAGCTTGAGAATGACACCTGTCCCGCTTAGAAATCTCAGTACAAGATGTAACAGACCAAAGACCAGACATTGGCAGAATTATTGTGACCTAACCACAATATTAAAGGACATGTTCAAGAAAAAAAATTGAGGTGTAGCATAGTTAACATATACACATTTTTTATGTGGTAAAGCCATGCTACAGCTATATTAGTAGTATAGTTGTAGCATGAATGGGTCAGCTCTACCGGGGAAGGACCACACTCTCACAGATTACCAGCGTAAAATAGCAGCTTAACACTGCTGTTTTATATGATGAGTGTAGAGAACCGGAGACCTTTTTGTAGGGTAGGGTGACAAACGAGCACACAGTCTACCTGATGGTAAGTGGTTACTGTGACCCATAGACATCTACATCTATCCTCAATAAAGACTCAAGATGCAGATGCGTTGTCGCCCGTGAGGACTAAGATGAAATGCCTCTTTGCCAGTAAAAAGGGTCTCCGGTTCTCTACACTCACCATACGAAACACGGCAGCATTAAGCTGCTATTTTACGCTGGTTTTCAGTGAGAGCGTGGTCCTTCCCCGGTCGAGCCGACCCATTCGTGCTACAACTATACTACTAATATAGCTGCAGCATGGCTCTACCACGTAAAGTATTTCATATTGTATAAAAAGTTTTTAATATTGTATATAAATAAATATAACTATTAAAATTATGTAATATTACCCTATGACCATTGTTGGTCGAAGCAAATAAATAAAATATATACAAAAATTACCTTTTCTACTATATCGCTTTATTTTATTTTTTGCATCTTTTGATTTGTTTCGATCCTGGAAAGCGAATAAGCGAGTCAATGACCGCGGCACTGGCTGCTCATCTGGATCTTTAGGCGGTGCATTTATTTTTGTTTTTAAGCTAAAATCATCAGTAGGATATTATAATAAATTTATTTTTGTTCCAATATAGTAAACGTATTAATACAATTACATACTCTTGTAAACGTCTTGCTTGTTGAACGAGTGGATCTTTGACACCTCTATGCTTCTTAGCGGGTATCTTACGACCCATTTTAATAAAACAAACCCACAATCTAAACACACCAAATACTAATTTTATTCCAATAAAATATTATGAGATTGAGATGTTGATTGTGGACATATTTACTAGGGATGTGAAAAAATAATCGATTTTAATATTAATCGATTATTTTTTTGTTATAATCGATTTTTCGAAGTCGATTATTTTTATAATAAAAATCGATTTTTAATAAATCGATTTTTATTATAAAAAAATCGCCTTTGAAAAATCGATTATAAGAAAAAATAATCGATTAATATGAAAATCGATTATTTTTTCTCATCCCTAGGGCACGGGCACACACATGGTGTAAATATTACGGATGTGACATTGAGTGAAAAAAATCGATTAATAAAAAATCGATTTTTTGCTTCGTAATAATAATCGATTTAAGAAAAATCGATTTTTTTATAAAAAAATAATCGATTTTTGCGAAAAAAAATTATATTCGGAAAATAATCTTCTGGTTTTAGAAATAAACTACAGAACAATTTTTTAACTGGATGGATTATGTAAATTACGCGTTTTAATCGATTTTTGTAATCAGAGTCATCTGTGCGATGGATGTAAAAACGTGAAGTAAGTATAATAACATGAAAAAGTCAATCAAAAGAACAGCGTCATCTGTCCGACAGATGAAAAAACGCGAAGTAAGTTCACTAACATGAACAAGTCGATCAAAAGACGGCGCCACCTTTGTGTATCTCTATAAATGTAAAACAGTTTCGCCATTCGTACGTTTTCAACAGTTTTCTTCCTTCACTAGGTATAAAAGTATTCTGTGGTTTTCTTTCTTTCTTTGGTTAGTGTAAACAATGATACTATATAAACCATAAAAATGTCTTGTAAAACGCCTAGAAGTGACTGACGGAAGTATTTTATAATGAAAAAGTGATAGCGGCTAATACGTCAATCGGCCGAAACGTCGGGAATAAAAATGTTAAATTAAACGCGATAAAATCCGTAAAAATTTGTTTCATTTATCGTTTCTTTTTATTTTGGTTCTAATAAATTGTTAAATAGCACTGAACATTTGTGGCAGTAATTATTTATAGTTTTTTTATTGTTTAAAGTTATAGGTTAAAAAAATTGTTTTGTAGTTTAGTTTTTAAAATAAGAAGATTGTCGTTCTGATTTTGTGTTATACGTATCATTTTATTTGAATTTTACTCTGACAATTTGTTGATACTATACTCTCGTAGTTTTATTAATATATAGGAAAGCAGGCATTTTTTCGAATAAAATAAGTTTTTTCGCAATAATCGATTATTTTTTACAAAAATCGATGTTTCTCAATCGATTAATATCACAAAGAAAAATATCGATTTTTTAGTAATCGATTTTTTTCACTCGATGTCACATCCGTACCGTGCCCTGCCCGTGCCCCGGATTTTTATATGACAGCGACAGTGACATTAGCACTTTTTTATTTAAAGCCAAAACGATATGTAGACCATACAGCCTACTTTGACGTTTAATTTTGATTACAAAAATATTCACGAACCGAAGAGAATTAGAAACAATTATTTAACGTTTTTACCAAAAGTAATATAAGCTCAGACATTTAATACTCAAAATCCCTCCAATTTCTACTTGACTGCTCCAAAAGGAGGGTAATGTTTTTCAAGTTTCATCATCATTCATTATAACAGCCCTTCACATGTCCACTGCTGAACATAGGCTTCCCAGAAGGAATTCCACAAAGTACGGTCCCGAGCCACCTACGTCCCTTGACTTCCTGCATGACTTACCAGGTCGTCACTCCATCTAGTGGGGTGACGCCCTAAACTTCGCCTGCCAGTACGAGGCTGCCAATCATGAACTTTTCTTCCCCATCAATTATCTGCTCGCCAGCTATATCACAGTAAAGAGTAAACAGAGGGGAGCTTCCTTCCTATGTAACAAAGTCGAAAATCTATATCTATTCTGAAAGGGTTATGACCTGATGCATGTGAAAATTTTAAGGAAAAAATAAAAATATTATATAGTAGTAAACAACATGTTGTGTATTCATTTGAAATTGAAATTGAAACTGCAAAAATTTTATATTTTGCTTATTTTCATGCTTAGCTTCACATTACATGTATCTATATTTCTATCAATATCATTTTCGTAAGACAACGTTTTATGAGTACAGAAAATCAGGTGGTAGTAGCAATGACTGTGATGATGGTAGTGGGCAGTGGCGGTGGTGGTGGTGTTCATACACTACCACCACCAATGTTATTACCAGGATGATGGTGGCGGTAGTAAGGGCTATGGTGGTTATGCTGGTCGTGGTGGTGGTTTCTACCCCGACGGAGCGTCGGTGAACCTGTCGGTGAGAGGTCACGCACAAATCGCTGCGCTATGTATGGGTGTACCCGCAACGAGACGTTTGTATGTAGCTTCCCCTCTGGTCGGTTTCTTTACTCATGTGGCTATAGGGCCGGCCCATTCCCAATTCAGCTTACTAATCCTATGTCGGTTATTCTGGTTCTATTGCCGATATCCTCGTTTTGAAGTCTATCACGCAGAGAAACCCCGAGCATAGCCCTCTCCATAGGTCGTCACTGGCAACACGCACTGGTTGTACAATCTTGTTTTGAGGTATATCTGACAAGGTGTGTCGTAATCTCCCGAACGCAGCCCAGCCGAGTTGAATCCGCCGATTGGCGTCTCGGTCGAAGTTGGACTTACCTAGTCGGACTATTTGTCCCAGGTAAACCTACTCGTCAACAACTTCGAGCTTAGTGCTCCCAAGAACTACCGGCATAGGTATGATATGGACGTCACACAAGACTTGTGTTTTGACCAAGTTCATCTTATGACCTATCCATTGGGAGACACTATTGAGGTCATTAAGCATAGTGCTTAGGTCCTCCATCGATTCTTCCATAAGGTGAGTGATGATCCAGTGATTGATCCAGTCCAGTAGCTTGAAAACGTTTTCCAATGAAACGGTGAAGAGTTTCGGGGATATTACGTCACCCTGCCTATATTACACATACGGCATCGTCCCAATAGAACGCGAATACGCGATCATCGCGTGAATTGACGATGCGAGCGACCCGCTTCGCTTCACTTTACCCATGGCATTGGCGCTAAGCATGGACGTCAAAAACGCCCAGTTTTTACTTTCTGATAATATATCGATGACCTATTCTGCTTGTCTTGACAGCAATGAAAAAACGAAATGAGTCGCAATGTGCTTTGTTGTAAATGAGACCGATACGTGGTGAATTTCACAATCAAAATTGGTCAGTCAGGTCCCTGCTCTTCACCCCGCTGCCCGTCGACACGACGCGATTGTCGCGCGAATGTCAATTATGGCACCTATGCGACAGCAATATGTTTGTTCGCGCGTTTATATATACTAAGTTCGCGCGAATAGATTTTCAAACAATTAAGTCGCGCGATCCCATCGCACGAATGCCAATTAGGATACTCATTCGAGATTAGTATGTTTGATCGCGTATTCGTACGAGTAAAATTCGCGCGAACTTGCGATAATCGCGCATTTGCGTTGTATTGGGACGACGCCTACCTCTCTGCAGTTGGATAGGTTTCGTACTCTGGTTCTGTACTCGGATGGCCATCATAGCCCTGCTGTACAAAAACTTCCGCACTTCGATATACCGACAGTATAGAATAGAATAATTTTTATTCAATATAGATTATTACATAATACTTATTGAAAGCCATTTTTTTTATTTATTTATCACGGTTCGGAAAATACCTCTGTCCTGGAAAGAACCAGCAAGTTTTTTTTCTAAACATATTCCAGTTTACAATAATTTTGCTTTTTTGTTTGTTCAAATTTTAAATGACTTTTAATAGAACGAGCATAGTGGCGATCACCCCATTCCCAGGGGGTTTTTTTCACTTATGCATTCTTTGATATTATAATAACCCTTTTTGTACAATGTTTCTTTAATTAATCATTTATACCATCAAAAACATGACAAAAAACAAGTCTCGCAACTCAGTTCTTCTAGCGTAAAAATTTGTGAGATCCATGTTATACCAAGTCGGTTAATTTATTCAGTCCCCGCTTGAGGGTTCTTCTGTCTCAAGTTATTACGTAATTAGCTAACCTAACAACATCTTATAGTGACCATATCAATATTAAAAATCTTTTATGTTTTAAATAAATAGATTGACTTAGCCGTGCCGCTTTTTTGCTCGACTTGGCGGGTGCACTACCGTGTCCCCAGAAACTTATTTATTGACAAATATTGTACATTTTCTGGAATTTTGTTGTAAAAGCGTATATACATTGCCACATAAATGAATTACTAATACTGTATAGTAGAGTGACTGGTATTATACAAGCTAATGTTTGTTGCTAGTGCTTAAAGTATTAACATCCTTATTCTTATTAAAGCTATTTATTTTTTTATGTGCATACATAACATTGGATATATAATAAATAAATAATATTTCATAAATATATTGCGATGCCAAAGTTAATATGTTTATTTCTTTAAATTTTTCTTTAAGGGACTCATTACAATTTAAGTTATAAATAGCCCGTACGGCTCTCTATTACAAAACAAATATAGATTCGATGTCAGTCGCATTACCCCATAGCAAAATTCCATAAGACATTATACTATAAAGTAACTAAAATAAACTCAAGTCACAACTCAAATCAATTTGACACCGCTGAAGGGACTGCAGCACGGCTCAAACTCCCGTGCCTCGGAAAGCACGTAAAACCGTTGGTCCTGCGCCTGATCTCTCTCCGGTCGTGTCGGTTTACCGTCCCCTCGGACTGTGAGAGTGAGGGAATAGAGAGTGCACCTGTGCTTGCGCATACACTTGGTATGATCCTGTCCTGCGCTGATGGCTAACCGTGGCCGCCATGACCGAAACTCGGTCTGGATGACATTATTATTTAATTTTTTACAGTTACCATTATTTTTATATTTTTAAGAAACTTTGTTTTTTTAAGGTTTATTTTATATCTGTGAATATCTATGACGTATCCTGAAATCATGTAAATATAA